AAATCAAGTATAAAAACTAGGGAAAGAACACATGAATCATACTTTTACAAGTAATTATAACCACATGTGATATCATTTTAGTAGGCTTCTTGGAAATTTTTTTCTTTCTCAGGTTTTACTTAGTATGTGGTTGATGTGAAAAGGTGGAATTTGGATTTTCTCTTTTACTATTTTAACCTGATTTATACGTGTAACTATAGTGTAGTACTATTTTGTAATAAGCTGAGAATTTCTAGTTTATTGCTGCAGTCTTCCAGAATATACAGAAGTTGTATTTATAGTTTAAAATATGTCCTTTACCTCTATAGGTTTGTGGAAACTTAGGTAAGATACAGCTTTTGTAAGATAGTGAAAGCTTAAGGAAGAAAAATGTTTTATTTTCTTCTCTACCTTGGAAGAATCTATAGAAACTGTAATTTTCTCTGTTCAGTAATATAGTAGTCACCATTTATGGCTTGAGTTAGTCATTTAGTTTTTTATACATATAAATGAGTATACCCATAAACATTTACCTGAAAAATTTTAGTCATAGACTTTTCGAAAAAATATTATCAGCAGTGGAATTTTGGTCATTCTATTACTTGATTGGTATAAATTCATTACATAAAATGCTGTTATAAAAACAAGCCATAATATTAGTATCAGAGTACAAAATAAATCAATAATAGAATCTCAGATTCTCAACTGTGTACTTACTCAGAAATACTAAAGCTTATCTATAAGTACTTTATTAGGAAAGTTAACCATGATCCGTGTATAGATATAAAATATATTTATGTATAAGAATATGCAACTGACAAGCTTTTTTTAACTAATCGTGAAGGATCCATGTATTATGGTGGAAAAGGGTAAGCCATAGTTTTATTAATAAATAATGCCCAGATGGCACAATCTCTCTGGTAGATATTTTTCTTATAAGTACTAAATTGGTAATGTTACAGTTTTCTTGTAGTGTGTTTGGTATATGAGTTCTCTACAACATTCTAGATGTTTTAGTGCCAACATTTAAAAATAATTACTTTTCCCTCCAATTTTACTTATATACTTCAATATTTACTACTTTTGTATCTAGAAATAATAGTCCAATACTTTTAGAATACTGTCTTAAATTAAAGTAAACTTTCAAATTTGAGTATTTGGGTAAAGGAAATTAAATACGTTAAATGAAAGTGTAAAGACCCTGTACGTATTTGTCAGAAGTATGTATATATTTCATTTGCATTAGTAGAAATTTTTTATTAATTTAGATTTGATTTTTTTCTGCAGTGATCCTTTGTAATACTCCTTAGATAGAAGTATAAATATGTGTGTTCAGATATCCTTCAGAAGAGAAAACGTTCAGGATGTTTACTAGAGGTATTTAGAAAGGAAAAAAAAAAAAAAAAAAAAAAAGCCTTTCAGTTAGGACAGTTGATGTATTTACTAAAGGCAAGGGTTTGTTTTGTTTTTTGCTATTTGAGTTTTACTTTTTTGGGGGGGGACATGTTAGGAGAAAAGGCGTGTATTCTGTAAAATGAAGCTACAGTTATTATAGTAATTGGTTTAGTAAAACATGTACCAAAATATTACTATAGAGTGTACCATACATAGTCATACACTTTTTCTGTAACTTCATTTCAAAGCAAGTTTCTCTTCTAGCACCAAGATATTTATGATTAGCATATTTAACTTGTCAAAATTGGGTTCGTATTCAAAGTTGGTAGGTAGAAAAGTTAAGACAAAACATTTAGTTTTTTTATGTGGTTCATTTATTTGATAAATATATTTTGAGGACCATAATGGGTAATGGAGATATAATTAAATGCAGAAGAAATATTAAAAGAGATAGTAGGAAAATCAGGAAAATGTTTCAAAGGGAAGATTGTGTTAAGCAGAAAGTATTTGAAGCACCTATTGACCTCTAATAAATAGAATGGTAGTTGTATAGTAGTTGTATAGTATTTTCCTTTTATGTGGCTGTTAAAACAAAAAATAGAGAGAACTGAGCACATCCTACATGTCAGGCATTGTTGTAGGTGCTTAACTTGGATAATTTCCCTTAATCCTTTTAGCAACCCTAAGAGCTGCTTAAAATTCCTTTTTAAGAATATTAAAAGAATATTAATATTCTTTTAAAGTAGCATTGGTCTACAGAAATATAATGTGAGATAAGTATGGAATTTCAAATTTTATGTTATCCACATTAAAAAAAGTAAAAAGAAACAGGTAAAATTGATTTTATAGTATATTTTATTTAACATAATATTTCTACAAATTATCACTGTAACATGTAATCAGTATAAGAATATTAATAATATATTTTAGATTCTTTTTTTTTTTTTTTTTTTTGTAGTAAGTCTTTGAAAACCCATGTGAATTTAATACTTATAGCACAGCTCAGTTTGGACTTAGCACATGTTAAGGGCTCAATATCCCCATGTGGCTAGTGGCTACCATCTTGGATAGTGTGGCTCTAGATTATACTGTCTCACCTTTCATATCATAGCTTGTTATTTTTCAGGGAACCTTTCTCTGATCCCCAGGTCTGTCGGTTTCCTTTCACCCCCAGTCTTAAGGAATCATATTCCTTTCTTTTAAAGGATTTATTACAATCGTAAATTATACTTCAATGAATAGGATTGTTTGATGTTTGTCTCTTCTGACTAGATATAGGCATTAGTATTTCCCATTGTATTCCCAGCATTACACACAGCTGGTGCTAAATAAATAGTATTTGACTGAAGGAGCCGTGCAATTACTGGGATAAGGAAACTTGCCCAGAGTCACGCAATTGATTTTAGAATCAGGCACTAAATTCTTTCTAATTCATTTTGCTCCAGAATGTGTAAATGTCACTAATGTGAGAAGTTGTTTTAATTCCAAGTTGTTCACCTGTAATGCTGTTTTCCTTGCTATTGTTCTGTAAGCTATCATAAATTTTTAGCTTGTAGGAAGCTTTTAAAATTATACACTTATTTTGAATTGATTTAACAGATTTGATGATAAAAGAGGTTTAATAATTAAATATTTTTTATTATTTAAATTCCCTGCTTACATTCATTCTGAAAATTATAAGATTGATGTAAGTTATTAAAAAATTAAAGCATTTAAATAAATTTTTTTAAGAATGAAGATTTTTAGATAGACCTTATTGGAAATAATCTAATTTTTTAAAGAATGATTTCTATGAATTTGATAGTGATTAAACCATGTGATCCATAGTATCTAATTATTTAAAAGCCAAGAAATTATATTTTGTCCATATTTTAAACAATCAGATTGTGCCATAGTCTTAAGTATGAAAGAGAAATTAAACATAGTCCCAACCTAGGTAAGTTTACACTTTTGTGTGTTCTATGTAAGTAGGAAGAATGAGATACTATTAAAGAGTAAGATTTCATTGCAAAGCTGATATTTAAGTGTATCTTGAAGGCACAGCAGGTATAAAGGGAAGAAGGAGAGGAAAGGGTATTTCATATTTCAGTCAAAGGAACAGCACCTATACAGATAGAGAGTTTCAAAACACTTTGTAGTGGTTCCTATAAGGAATTAGAAGCATGTAGTTCAGTCTGGCTGCAGCATAGGATGTGCAAACTAGGGCAGAGCCAAGGAAATAAGCCTGGAAGGGCAACTTGATGGTAGAATCATAAAGATTCAAGGAGCTTGAACTTATCCTATGCAGTAGGGAGCAAAATGATGGAAGAAAGACCTGAAAAATGTGAGCAGTGAGGTGGCAGTTACAGTAAAAGAAACAACGGGGCATGGACTCCCTTAGGGTGGGGGTTGTTTAGAAGAAAGTACAGGGTATATACAGTTTACTCTCCTCTGGCCCCTCTCAACCTTTTCTGATCCCCTAGCCCCCTCTACCAAGAAGACAGGAAATTAAGGACAGGACATAATTCTGGCGAATTCTTTTTAAAATATGTGTTCTAATGTGTCTGTGTTTTAGTGAATTTTAATGGAAACTTATTGTGTAATGCCTATTATTAAGTACCAAAGGAAAGGATATGTTTTACAAAGGAAAAATGCTTGTGATTCAAATCAGTGTCATTTTTCACTGCATGTCAAAGCTTGTAATGTAAATTATTCCATCCTTAAACAGTAGCCTGATTTTGCTGTATGGTCTTACTCACTTTAATCAACTTAAAAGTAAAAGGATATGAATTAATTTTTAAAAATTACGTCTTATTAGTGCTTTGGGTTTTACTTATATATTAGAGTCTGTTTTTAGTTTTGTTTTTCTGAATTTAAGAAATAAAATTAGAAGCCTAAATAGGCTAGTTTGTTAAGAGCATAACTCTTATATACCATGAACCAACACTGTAATCAGGAAGAAGCTGCCTGGGTAAATTCCTTTGCTTTGAAACCATCTCTTCTTTTGTTGCTTAGGGAGATTATAGGGGCCAAACAGCAGTAAGAAAAAAGTGTTCATTCTATTCTCTCTCAGTCCTGTAATGTTCTCAGCCAAAATTTGTTAGGAAAATCTCCCTAATCTTAGTGGTTGCAGATATGGTCAGGACACTAGTATCTCTTCTTGACAAAGCTCTGCCACTGTTATCCTCAGCAGAAATAAACAGACACAAGTAGGTGTGCACGAGCCCTTCTCATTTCTGCTGGCCCAACACCGTTTTTGGAAAGGACAGTGGAAAATGAAGTCTTTTCTTTACTTGTTGACCCTTAAGATTCTTATCATCATTATATATCATTTTGGGGGTATCACAGGATTGGTGTTGTGATGCGCTTTCCATTATATTCATTTTTGAAGCCTTAAGTGAGGTTTCAGTGTGGCCCCAAAATAGGTTAATGTTTCAAACCATGTACCCTGTATCGTCAATAATAAAAAAAAATACATTTGATCAGTGCTAAACTTCATAAATATATTTATATAAAATTACATAATTATTTTTATCCTTATAATTAATTTTGTTAACTTCCCTATTTCAAAGGACTAGATTATGGTAACTTTTTTAGATCTGATGTTTTGTTTAAATGAATTAAAATATATTTGTTTTTCCATGCAGATTTGAGTTTTGTGAACCTGCATTTGTGGTTGGTAATTGCCTCCAGATAGCATCTGACAGTCATCAGTATGATCGAATTTATTGTGGAGCTGGAGTCCAGAAAGACCATGAAAACTACATGAAAATATTACTAAAAGTTGGAGGCATACTAGTCATGCCTATAGAGGATCAGGTAATTTCCACTGTTCCTTTTGCTTAGTGCCATAGGAAACAAACACATTAGTTTAAGATGGGGAAATGTTATTTAATGAAAGGTACACATAATTTTTGAAGAAGAAATACTGTTCACAGATCTGTTTGTATAGAAAAAACTTGAGATAGGCTCTTATTTAGGCAAAGCAGATATAGAAAGGATCTCTACGCTGGGATTAGAAGAGATGGGCTTTCACTTGAGTTCAGCTACTCCCTGTTTGTGGCCTTAAGCAAGCCACTCCGTCATTTAGTTTTCTCACCTGGAAGGTTCAGTTGAATGTGATGATCTCTACAAGCTGCTGAGTTTCCAACGTTCTTCAATTCTTTGAACATATCAAAAAGAAATTCTATTTGTGGTTTGTTTTGAAATGCATAACTTCATTACTAAAACAAGTGAATTTTAAAATCTTTGAGTGCTATGTAGACTCACTTGAAAATATTCTTCAGCTATTTATAAGCATTATTTAATTTTCCTTACCTTGATTTAGAATTATTAGGTATAATAAGTGTATGACATACTCATTTATTCAGAAAATGGGTGGATTTTTCAAAAGCAAATTACTTAAAAAAGTTATAAAAATGTATTTCAAAAAAATATGATCTTTAATATTCACATTAACCTAAATCTGAGATGTTTGAAACACCTTGCAGTTTGTGCAGTAGAAGTGACAACTTAAGATGACTGGGACCTAGCATGATAATCGTAGAGTTTATATGTCTTGGGGGTCCCTTAACATTTCAGTGTGCCATTTGCAGCTTAATAGATCTCACCATTACCATGCACTGTGTGCTCTGTAGAAAATTGTTTGCCGGTTATTACAAAGGCAGAATATAAAAATATTCATTAAAAAATGTTTCTGGAAAAATGTTACTCAGTTGCTTCCAAGATTTAGATTCCCAGTTAAACAATCTTTTTCTGTTTTCCTTTAATGATACATTTTCAAATGTTTAAAATACAACTTCTTCATCAGTATTTTTTATAACATTTATTCTATACTATCATACAAATATCAAATACAGTAATGGGATACTTTTTGTAAAAAAGTTGAAGATACTAATTCAATTTGAACAAGCCATCTACTTAGCTAATATATTTTTTTCTAGGACTAGTGATGGGTGTTTACTGAAGTTGGTCAAACTCATAGTCCCTTTGTGACTAATTATATTTATTTGTGAAATATCAAGTTGGGGTTTGAATTAGAATCTATATTTCATTACCATCATGGAAGAACATGAAGCCAACTCATTAGTACAGTAATGAAAATATGGTTTTATTAGTCTAATGCTGTAACCAAATAACCAAGCCTATTTCGGACACATTTCGGGAGGCAATGGAATGTATGGATTGTGGTGGTGCCCCTAGAAATTATCAGACGTAAAATCTAACATGCAGACTCACTTGACCACATTGGGGTATCCTGTTTGCATTGAAATATCTGTCTTGAACAGCAGATATTTTTGATTCCTTCTATATTATTTTACAGTAAATATTTAAATGGAAGTAGTTTGGTTGCATTTAAATATAAGTGCTTATATAGCTCTTATTAGCAGTTATTCCCTTAAAACAAAATTTTGATTGCAAGATGATCACATTACCAGGAATAAGCTGTTCTTTTTCTTTTTCCTTTCTAAATAGTTAACACAGATTATGCGAACTGGACAAAATACTTGGGAAAGTAAAAATATCCTTGCTGTTTCATTTGCTCCACTTGTACAACCAAGTAAGAATGATAATGGCAAACCAGATTCTGTGGGACTCCGTAAGTAGCACCTTGTACTTGCAGACTGAATTGTGACTTACAGTGTTCAACTCATATGCTGGGGATTTAATAGGCTGTGTAATTATGAAGAATTAAATAAATACCTAGTAATATATTCAGTGGATTTATTCAACTTGTTTTTTAGATAAAGTCCTTACCTTGTACCAGACACTGTTCATGCCTTCATGGAAACGTGAAAAGAGGGGCAGGTCAAACCAAAACCAAATTTATTAATTATAGTTTGTGATGTGATAGAAAGTAACTGGTTGTGGGGAAGGGCATCTATTTTAGGTATGATGGTAAGGAAGGCCTTTCTGCCCTGACAACATGTGAATTTATAACAGGAATGATATAAAAGAATCTGCCATGTCAAGATTTAGTGGTAGCATTTTCCATACAGAGATACAGTGAATACAAAAGGCTTTAGGCTGAAAAGAGCTTGGTCATTCCCAAACCAGGAAGAAGGTCCAGGGTGGTGGAAGCTCATTGGCTGGGCTGTGGAGGATGGATTATCATAGGGGAAAAAGGGCAAACAGGCCAATTATGAGGCTTTTATTATACCCAAGGGTAGAGGTAATGTTGGTGCAGAAAGAGGTGTTTGAAGGCAGAAAAATAGCATACTGTGTGAGGAGTGTGGGTGGAGGAAAAAGAGGAATCAGTTTGTGTGGCTAGCTGAGTGATGGTACCATTTACTGTTGTTGAGAAGATGAGAGGTGGCATAATTTGGAAATAGTGTAGAAACATAGACATTTTCTTTTGGCCATGTTTGAGTTGTCTGTTAGCTTACAGATGTCAGGTTGTCAAGTGGGTGCAAACCTACCGCATGAGGGAGGCAAGAATTGAGAATCCTCAATGTAAAGATGGCATCGTAAGCTGTGATCGGATGAGGTGGATGAGGCCCCTTAGGGGGAGGGCCGAGGTAGAGAAAGACGTTAGCGTTGGACCTGTGGTCTACCAAGTTTAGAGATGAGACAGAGGAAGATGGATTAGTGAAGGAGTGGCTGGGGCGGGGCGGGGGGGGGGGG